ACCACTAATCAATCAATCAGTAAAATAACAAGAGCAAAAAGGGCTGAGGGCTTGGCTCAAGTGGTAGAGTACCTTTCTAGCAAGCTTAAAGCCCTGAGTTCAACTCCAGTAATGCAAACAAAGTAAAAAAAAAAAATGACAAAAGGACAAGCTGTATACACTGGAAGAAGATATTTATAAAATGTTTATCTGACAGAAGTCTTGTGTCTAGAATAGAGAACTACCATAAGTTAGCCAGAAAAATAATTTTTAAAGGCATGCAGAAGACTTGAAGAAGTATTTTTAAAAGAGCATTTCAAAATTAATAAGCACATAAGCATATGCCCAATGTCATCCCCAGCAGGAAGATGTAATTAAATCACACCTGGTCATCATTATGACCTGAATGACTGAAATTAAGAAGGCCAGGAATACCAAGTGTCTCACAGACCTGGACCTGTAATCCTGATGTGTTGCTGGCGGGGGTGGGGGGGGGTACTTGGAAAAACTGGCACTTTCCACTCCTTAAGTGCTTGTTCTGTGACTTAGTAATTTCACCACTAGGTACAAACCCAAGAAAAATGAGCCTATCTCTCCATAAAAAGACATGTACAAGAATGTTGGCTGGCAGAGTGGCCTCAGTGGTAGAGTGCCTGCCTAGCAAGCATTAAGGCCCTGAGTTCAAACCCTAGTGCTGCCCCCCCCCCAAAAAGTGAAGAATGTGAGTAGCAGCTTTTTAAAAAATAGACACTAACCTGGGGGAAAATGTCCCATCAAAAGAAGAGTGGGTACCTTGTAGAACATGCACATCAGGAAAATTACATAGCAAGAAAAAAGAGTACATTACTGATCTATACAACAACGTGGTTAACTCTTAAAGAATTCTACCAATAAGACAGATAGAAGAGAAGCCATATATTTTTATGAAGTTTAAGGACAGATCCAATAAATATTGATCACTAAATCATAATGGTTACTTTGGAGGCAGATATCATACTGTTCCCTTTCTTTACCTTGAGGCAGTAAAACCAAAACTTACACAATCAGAAATCTCATGAGAGCCGGGCATCCAGGCTCACACCTGTAATCCTAGCTACCTAGGAGGCAGAGATCAGGAGGATCGTGGTTCAAAGCCAGTCTTGGCAAAGAGTTAGTGAGACCCTGTCTCGAAAAAAACCTTTCTCAAGGGAAAAAAAAGCTGGTGGGGGGAGACTGGTGGAGTGGTTCAAGGTGTAGTCCCTGAGTTCAAGCCCCAATACCACACACACAAGAAAAACAAGGCTAGGAAATTTAAAACACTCTTCTGCAGAAATCCTTTCATCTACCTAGTTTGGATTTTTCTAATGTTCCTCTCAGTGCAGCCTGGACTCCTGAGTGATGCTCTGGATCTCTTGTGCTGTTATACAAGGGTGTGCACACGCACAAATTCTCCAAGCTCTGTGCTTAACATTGTTGTGCTTGCACATTTAGCTGTGGATGTTGTCTCAACTTTTAAAAATTAGGGCTAACATTACTAGATTTGAAGAAAATAGAATTTAAAATTTATAAACCATATTTAAAGGGGAAAAATGATGACCTGATCAACAAAGATCAGGAAAGAAAAAAAACAAGAAGCAGCAAACACAATATATATTCATGGGATTTAAGAAATCCCCTAGTAAAGGACAGGTCCCTAACCCAGTAAATCTTTTTTTTTTGTGGGCGGGGGGTAGGAAGAGAGGGTGTGGGGACAGTACTGAGGTTTGAACCCAGAGCTTTGTGCTTGCTAGGCAGACGTTCTACCTCTTGAGCCACTCCTCCAACCCCTGATCCAGTAAATCTTGAAGAAAAAACAAAGGTCAGTTTTTTGCATAAGCAGGAGACATACCTAAAATAAAAGTGTGTTAGACAGATTGAAAATTGGATGGGCAGGATATAGCGGCAAATAAATGCAAACCAAAAGAAACAGGAATGCCAACACTAACATCAGGTAGATTAAAAAATCAAGGTTAAAATAACTAAAAAGAACAAAGGGTCAATTTATTTTATTTGAAAGTTCAGTCTACTCAGAAGCTAATAATAATGAAATTTTATGTACTTTAAAATATTGTATCAAAGTATATTAGGCAAAACTTTTAAAATACAGAAGAATTTAAAGTCACATGGTTGATATTAACATACTTCATAATAAATTAACAGGAAAAAGTTAATATAAAATAATCAAATAGACTTTCTTTTTTTATAAATAGGATTTTGTAAACACAAGACAGACTATTCAGTTTTTCAGTGCTCACGATCATTT